AGCCGCGTCGCGAAACTCTGCGCGTCAGGCGTCGTCAAGGCGGGAGAAGCAGCGATACTGTGTGTGACCAACCTTCCCGCATGTCTGACCAGCGCGGTCACTTGTGCGAATGACGTACTGGCAGCGAACACTACCCCCAGACGCCCCACGCTGAGCAAACCACTCACGAAGCTCCTGGGGCGGGGTCTCACGCGGACGCTGCTGCTGTTGCCTCTGACCACAGCGAGCACCTCCAGCACCTTTAGCTCCGCCGCCACCCCGACCGCCACCGCTGCCGCCGCCACCACTACCGCCGCCACCACTTTCACTGCCGCCACCCCCGCCGCCACCAACTCCTTCACTCCCACCACCACTCCCTCCGCCACCACCACCGCCTCCACCACCGCTTCCACCACTGCCACCCCCACCACCCTTGCCTCCCTTGCCCCTGCCACTGCGGCGCCTCCCACTTGGAGCAGACGTAGCCCCGACCTCCTGAGCACGAAGGAAGTCAACAGCAGCAGCAGAAGCGTAGGAGGGGGCAAGGCGGGAGGGGGAACACCCCTCAAAGATGGGAGTGCAAGGAGTGCCACGAGTAGCACCTACAGCGACTATGCTAGTCTCAGCTGCAAGGAGGTGCTTCTCGAGCAGGTCGACAGTGAGGTCCGCGGGTCCATGGCGAGAAAGAGGTCCCTGACTGCGCTAAGAGAGTCATGGAGGCGGGTGGCTATGCAGTAGAGAGTGATGTACATGGGTGGGGGGTTCTTGTCTAGAAACTTGGTGGGCAGTGCAGCACGGTAGGGAGTGTCGTTAGTGCGAAGGTGGGTAATGTGGTCGTCGACTGTGGCAAAGGCGGAAAGCTCGGGAAAAAGGTAGGGCCGTATAAGGCAGCTGAGAGCAGCAGTAGCAGGGGAGGAGTAGCGGGCGACTACAGCGTCATACAGGGCTTTAGCAGTCTTGTGCTGACCAAAGTGGGCGCGTTCGGCTAACGTTTAGTGGTTGCGAACGGCTAGGCAAGTAGCAGCGTCACGGGTAAGCTACTGTGAGCGAGTCGCACTGTCAGCTGTGTTGGGAGGGGCGAGAGAGGCTCCAGACGTGTGGTCAAACAACGAAACGCTGTCTCTAGAGTCGCTCAGTAGGTACAGCTGTAAGTCGTCGAGCCAAGTATCAAACTAGATCGCACGACCCTCTGGATCGAATGTGGGGACACTAAGAGTAGCCATAGCGGGCAGAGCAAGGTGGCGCGTGACAAGCAGGGCGGCGCGCGTGCACTAGGAAAACGCTCAAGCAGGGTAGGGCGGCGCACGGCCAAGGAAGGGCGGCGCGTAGGGCAGGGCGGGGTAGCACAGCGGCCAGCAGGGCACCTCGTGGGCAGGGCAGGACGGCGCGTGGGCCCTAGGGCGACGCGACGGGCAGGGCAGGGCGTCGCGCGGGTCCTAGGGCGATGCGATGGGCAGGGCAGGGCGTCGCGCGGGTCCTAGGGCGATGCGACAGGCAGGGCAGGGCGTCGCGCGGGTCCTACGGCGACGCGACGGGCAGGGCAGGGCGTCGCGCGGGTCCTAGGGCGACGCGACGGGCAGGGCGTCGTGTGGGTCCTAGGGCGACGCGACGGGCAGGGCAGGGCGTCGCGCGGGTCCTAGGGCGACGCGACGGGCAGGGCAGGGCGTCGTGCGGGTCCTAGGGCGACGCGACGGGCAGGGCAGGGCGTCGCGCGGGTCCTAGGGCGACGCGACGGGCAGGGCAGAGCAGCACGCGAGCAGGGCGGCACGACGGGCAGGGTAGGGCGCTACGAACAGGGTAACGCACTACAAACTATTCGGTGGGCCCTAAAAAAAATGTTCCTGGAACAGGACCTGCTCTGATACCATGTCAGAATCTAAACGAGAGGATGATGCATTGAGAATAGAACTGGGTACAAGTTCTAACCCTAATTGGGTTGTACCCCTTATGGGCTACCCCACTACAGCCTACATAACATAAGCATCATTATTGTTTGACAGAAATTTCAGGCTTAGTACAAGAAAGTTAGCTTAAAAATCAGTGTGGGGATAAAGTTTTAAACTTTTCAATCAGCCTCGGGGCCTACAACAACCCTGAAAATCAACGTTCAAACCCAAAATCAGGGTAAAATTCCTGCAATCTGAGGTCCTGACTACCACCAGTAGCATACATAGCATACATGCCAGCGGAGATTTGGCTTGAATCAAGAGAATACACTTTTACGCTCACCAAACCAGTCAGAAGTCTTAGCCTGCTCACCAAACTCCGCTCGAAAGGCGGTAGAAGCAGCGAGCCTTAGTGTGCCCTTGTTTGCCACATACCTCTCCAGGGCGGAAATGGCGCAAGGGCAGCACCAACTACGGTGCGGCGACCGGGCGGCTCGCAGATGGCGGCTGTTGCGGCAGTGGCAGCATGTGTAGTCGTAGCGGTAGCAGCGGCGGCTGTAGCGGGAATGGCGACGGCAGCTGTAGTGAGAGCGGTAGTGGCTGTAGCGGCAACGGCGGCGGCAGTGGCAGAGGCGGCTGCAGCAGCAAGGGGCGGTTGTAGCGGCAGTGACAGCTTTAGTGGCAGCTCCAACGGCTGTAGCGGTGGCGGTAGTGGCTTTAGCTGCAGTGGCAGCAGCTGCGGCAAAGGTGGCTGCAGCGGCAGGGGTGGCTGTAGCGGTGGTGGTAGGTGTAGTGGCAGCTGCAGCGGGGTCAGCAGTAGCGGCGGCAGTTGCAGCGGTTGTAGCAGCTGTAGCAACTGGTGGCTGTAGCGGTAGTGGTAGGAGCGGCGGCAGCTGCAGTGGCTGTAGCGGGAAGGGGCGGCGCCGTCAGAATTAGAACGGAGGAATGATGGACTAGGTAGCAAGGATGAGTACAAGTACTACCTAACCCTAAAGTGTTGTACTCCTTAGAGTATGCCTCACTACAGCCTAGGGTTAACAAATACAATTTGACACACCCCCATAGGCAAAGTGGGGGATAGCAAATACAACGGACGGTCACAAGACTAGTTAAGCAAGGGAACAAAGCAAAGCAAAGCTCGGGGTGGATCTCAATATCACCACGCAGTCTAAGCACAAGCAAGCGGCCACAAGGCCAGTTCACATGCAGAGTTTTAAAAGCACAAGCATTACAATGATCACAACATAGCAAGAGCAAGCATGCAGGTATTTAGATATATGGATCACAGTACAAGACAGAGTCAAGCAACCATTAGGTGAGGCGGAGTAGGCACAAGGCCTAGAGCAGGGCAGAAACGCTGATGATCACCACGCACAAGGGCCTTGGTTAAGACATCAGCAGTGTTGGCCCAAGAGGCCATGTAATCAAGGCGCAACTGACCACGCTGCTGCAACTCTCGAGCCAGAAAGTAACGCAGAGTAGTGTGGTGTGCTCCAGTATCTGCTCCTGACACAAGGCAATTATGGCCGTGTTGTCGACGTAAAGAACTGGAGGAGAACGAGGTCGCTCACCCAAGTCGGTCTGCAGGTAGGTAAGCCGGCGTAACTCCTGTGCAGCCATGGCCCCAGCGTAGATCTCGGCCTCAAAGCTGGAACCAAGCACAGAAGACGAACGAGTGGACCTCCACGAGATAGAACCAGAGCCGAGACTGAAAGAGTAACCCTGTGACGACCGCTGAGTCGCCTCGTCATCGGCCCAAGAAGCGTCGGAGGGTCCTGTGAGTACCATTGAACCCCGTCCTCCAAGCACGAGCCCCATGCCCGATGTACTGCACAAGTAACGCAGTACCCTCTGCGCAGCTGTCCAGTGCTCCTTCCTGTGTCGCCCGGGCGCGACGAAGCGAGCAAGGATGCTGAGAGGGTACGCGAGGTCAGGTCGTGTGCACGTCATCGGGTGCATGAGGCAGCCCACAAGTTCTGGATACAGGCCACTCGGCTCTACGGACTCGTCCGAAGGTGGAGCTGAGAGTGAGTGGCCTGTAGGTAGAGGAGTGCGCTGTGGCGAGCAAAACTGAAAGCCGAAGCGCTGAAGGACCTGGTGCACCATGTGTGACTGAGTCAAAGTGATGGTGTGCCGTGCTGGGTCTCGGGTGATCTACAAGCCAAGATAGCAACGCAGCTCACCCAGGTCAGTACAAATGTGTCTCTTCTGCAGCTCCGCCTTCATAAGGGTCAGCGCCTCAGTGTCGGCAGTAGCAAAGACCAAGTCGTCGACGTACACGAGGATGTAGAACGACGGCAGAGTAGGGTCGGTGCGCAGAAACAATGACGGGTCAGCAGTCGAAGGTGCAAATCCAAGAGCCGCAAGCGTCGTCCTCAGTGTGTCATGCCAGTTGCGGGGTGCCTGGCGAAGGCCGTAGACCGGCCGCCGGAGGCTCCACTGGGTACCTTCAGGAAACGACCCAGTGAAGCGAGGTGGGCGGCGCAGGCGGATCTCCTCGTGAAGGCTGCCCTGCAAGAAAGCTGTGGAGAAGTCGAGGGAGTGCAGCTCGTAGACACGCTGTGCTGCAACGTGCAGTAACACCCGAAAAGTGGTCATCTTCGGCGTGGGGGAGAAGGTCTAGAAAAAGCCGACCCCCTGTCGGTGACTGAAGCCTCGAGCAATGTAACGTGCCTTTAAGGCAGGAGGAGAACCCGGCGGCCGCTTCACTCTGAAAATCCACATGCAATCGACTATGTTAGCCCCAGGAGGGGGAACCTCGTCGACGTAGGTGCTTGTAGATTCCAAGGAAGCCATCTCTGCGTCCATCACTGTCTGCCACTGGAGAAGTACTCACCCGTGATCGCCTCTGCGTAAGAGCGCGGGGTGGGGATGTCCAGTGCATCCGGGTCTCCCTCAGGGCAACGCAGCATGGACGCGAAACGGGGTAAAACGGTCGCGAGACACTCGAGCTCAAACCCCCGTAACTGCCTGCAGGAGGAACCTGTGTAGAACATCCCTTGAAGGGGTACACCTAGCGCAGCAGAAGACGGCAGGGGGGTAAGTGAGCAGGAGGAGGCGAGAGAGAGAGAGAGAGAGAGAGAGAGAGAGAGGAGAGGAAAAAGAGAGAAGTACGAAGGAGGAGGAGATAAAGGGATGAGGCGAGGAGTTGAGGGGGAGCCACCTGTGTCGAAACCCTCTTACTAGCCCCCTTCTACAAAGGGGGAGGTGAGAGAGTGATGAGGAGAGGAGGTGGGGGGGAGCCAAGCGCGGCGAAACCCCTCTTACTAACCCCGAAATCCCCACACCCATTCAACCACCCCCCCTTAACCTCACCCCCCATAACAGCCGCCCCCTGAGACCGCACCCCCTTCCCCCCTTTCTTCCTCCACACCCCTGCCCCACCCACGGCAGTCCCTGCAGAATCCTTACCGCCACCCCCTCAGCCCCCCCCCCAACGGCAAAAGCGGGAGGGAGCGAGAGGAAGAGGAGGCGGCAGTTCTGCTCCTTTTCACGGCGGCACTGGCGGGGTCTCTGCTGGCGGTGGCACTGCTGGCGGGGTCTCTGCTGGCGGTGGTGCTGCTAGCGGGGTCTCTGCTGGCGGTGACGCTGCTGGCGGGGTCTCTGCTGGCGGTGGCGCTGCTGGCGGGGTCTCTGCTGGCGGTGGCGCTGCTGGCGGGGTCTCTGCTGGCGGTGGCGCTGCTGGCGGGGTCTCTGCTGGCGGTGGCACTGCTGGCGGGGTCTCTGCTGGCGGTGGCGCTGCTGGCGGGGTCTCTGCTGGCGGTGGCGCTGCTGGCGGGGTCTCTGTTGGCGGTGGCACTGCTGGCGGGGTCTCTGTTGGCGGTGGTGCTGCTGGCAGGGTCTCTGCTGGCGGTGGCGCTGCCGGCGGGGTCTCTGCTGGCGGTGTAGTGCTGGCGGGGGTCTCTTCTGGCGGTGTCACTGGCATTGTCGCTGGCGGTGTCGCTGGCGTCGGTGCTGGCGGCAGTTGCTGGCGGCTCCGACGGCGGGTCCGTCGGCTCGCTTGCTTGCGGGCTCGAGGGTCCGTTGGCGAGCTCGCTGGCGGGCTCGTCGGCGGGTCCGTCGGGGGATCCGTCGGCGGGTCCAACGGCGGGTTTGTCGGCGAGCTTGCTGGCGCGCTCGTTGGCGGGTCCGACGGCGGGTCCGTCGGCGGGTTCGCTGGCGCCAATGCTATCGCGGGCGACCGTCGCTAGCGCTAGCGACCGTCGCTGGCGGTCTGAATGGCCGGTGGTACGCTCGCCACTGGTCGCTGGCGCAATCGCCACAGCTCGCCGCCTTCCTCGCCACGTGCAGAGCGTGACGAGCGAGCTACGGGCAGAACGCGATGAGAGATCCGTGGGGCGCGACATGACGAGCGCGATTGGTGGGCCCATAAAAATAGGGGATCTTACTACCATGTCAACGAACGAACGTAATCTAGGCGACGGGTTTAACTAATAGGCCTAGGCTTAGTAGCCTAGGCCAAGCGGGAGTCGAGAGAGTTGTGCCAAGGAGAATATCGAGAATGAGATGGTTACACTATAGCACACAAGGTACATATAGCAAAATGGACAAAGGTGCACCACCAAAAATTAAGAACTACACTACAGTAAATCCTACAGGTAGTTATATAATAGAACATTATAATTATAATGTCTGACAGTAGTAGCAAAGTCGACTAGCTCAGTGACTAGGGCAAACGCAGCAGTAGACTCAAAGGAAGGATCAGTGACAACAGTAGCGAGGAGACAAGTGACAGTATGACTAGCAGTACGAGCAAGGTCGGACTCAAGGTCAGAAACGTCAGGAAGAGAGGACACCTGAGGAGACGGCAGAGGAACACGCTGTGGAACAGAGGAAGGAAAAAGTGCCATAGTGTGTGTGCCGGCGACAGGTGGAGGACGAGAACGACGAGCACGACTGACAGTGCGAACAGGGGAGGCAGGACGAGACTTGCCTCACGATGCTCTGCGAGGGAGCCTGTCTGTGCAGGGTAGGGAGAAGGAGCAGGCAGTGGAGAGCCAGGCAGTAACTGTGGTTGGTCGGCGGAGGACACAGGAGAGGCGGAGTAAGGCCAGTGGAAGACGGAAGACAAAGATCCTGACAAAGTGTCGAGCCAGGTGGTGGTAGGGACGACTGCGGCTGCGGGTAGAAAAACGGTCAGTGCGGTGCATTACCCATACCGTCAGCAGCTCCAGCACCTCCAGCACCCCCAGCTCCAGCACCTCTAGTTCCACCAGCTCCAGCACCTCCAGCACCAGCAGCTCCAGTACCTCCAGCACCTCCAGCTCTAGCAGCTCCAGCACCAGCGGTTCCAGTACCTCCAGCACCTCCAACTCTAGCACCTCCAGCACCAGCAGCTCTAGCACCTCCAGCACCAACAGCTCCCACACCTCCAGTACCTCCAGCTCCAGTACGTCCAGCACCAGCAGCTCTAGTACCTCCAGCACCTCCAGCTCTACCACCTCCAGCATCAACAGCTCCAGCACCTCTAGGACCTCCAGCTCCAGTTCCTCCACCACCACCAGCTCAAGTACCTCCAGCACCTCCAACTCTACCACCTCCAGCACCAACAGCTCAAGCGCCTCCAGTACCTCCAGCACCAACAGCTCCAGTACCTCCAGTACCTCCAGCTCTAGCACCTCCAGCACCAGCAGCTCCAGCACCTCCAGTACCTCCAGCTCCAGTGCCTCCAGCACCTCCAACACCAGCACCTCCAGCACCAGCACCTCCAGCACCTCCAGTACCTCCAGCTCCAGTATTTCCAGCACGAGCAGCTCCAGCACCTCCAGTACCTCCAGATCCAGTACCTCCAGCACCAGCAGCTCCAGTACCTCCAACACCTCCAGCTCTAGCACCTCCAGCACCAGCAGCTCCAGTACCTCCTGCACCTCCAACTCTAGCACCTCCAGCACCAGCAGCTCCAGCACCTCCAACACCAGTACTCCAAGCGCCAGGAACCCTGCCTCGCCGAACAACCCAGTCGCGAAGCTGCTGCAGCGAGAGGGTCTCCTATCGAAGAGACTGCTACTGCTGTCCAACGCCAGAACCCCCAACAGGAGCACCCACGACTCCACCACGATGCAGCAGCCCCAGTATCTGCACCCCCAGAACCGGCACCCCCAGAGTCAGCACCCCAAGAACCAGCACCCCCAGACTCAGCAACCCGCGGACCAGCACCCCCAGAGTCCACGCCCTCAGTGTCACCACCCCCAGCAGCGCCAGAGTCCACAACTATAGGCTGCGGAGGCGGCGAAGATGGCCGAGGCGGAAGGTCTCCAGGCGCGGGGAGCGGCGAGTGGCCGCCGCGTCGTCAGCAGCGGGGTCACCCCCCTCAGCTGGGCCAGAGTTGTCAGAGGAGACCTCCAAAGGCTCAACCAAGGGGGGTGGGTCGACCTGAGACACACCTGAGGGAGCAGGACCCTGTGTCAGGAGGGGGTCTACCGGTGGGGGACCTGGGACCGGGAAGAGGGGCGGCGGGGAGAGTGGGGAGGACACGTGCGGGTGGAGACGGTAGAAGCAAGACGCGGCGCGAAGCAGGGTGGTAAAACTGCCAGGGCGGGGCGTCGATGGGGAAGCCAAGGAAGACGCAAAGGAAAGTGCGAGGAGAGAGCTTGCCCGCAATAGTATCGCGGACAAGGGAGAGCGCACCCCAGACCCGAAACGCCGACACATCGCCAACCTCCCCCGTCCAACGCAGTGTACGCGAGGTCTCGCACAGATATACGGGGCCAGAGGTTGAGCTGATGCGCGGTGTATCGGACTGCAAATGGCCACAGAAAATGGGGAGCAGCCGCATGGATCATGCAGGTACGAGCAGCCTCCATGACCAAGCCAATGAGACACTCAGCAATCCCATTCTGCTGCGGAAAGGCCGGAAGCATGAACGACTAGGCGATGCCCTCCGCACGACAAAAACCCTCAAGGAGGCAGGAGGAAAACTCACCGCCTCTGTCAGAGTGCAGTCGCAAGACCTGGAGGTCCTCCTAAAACCGCGCTCTCAGCTGGCGATGAACAGCAATGATCCAGGGGATCAAAACACCGGGGACATTCGCCTTGCTCCGCAAGGGGAAGACCGTGGTGTAGCACGTGTAGTCATCAACAACCAGGAGGAAGTAGCGCTCTTGGTCTTGTCCATGGACACGGGTTGGGCCCCCCACGTCCATGTGGAGAGTCTGCAGAGGAGCAGTGGTCGGCGGAAACGAGGAGGAGTGTGGAGCGGCGCGTTGCCGCCCCTCGATGCAGGGAAGGCACGGTGGTGCAAGCGAGCGCGGGAGCGGGGGCAGGGACCTGGGGAGGCCGGAGACAAGGAGACGAGAGTGCATGCCACGCAAGCGCGGAAGGGAGGGGTGACCATGACGGTGGTGCCAGATGAGAGTCTGGTGCGTGAGTAGCCGACACGAGCAAGACGCAGCTAACTGACCCGACGCAGCTACCTGACCCGACGTAGCTACCTGACCCGATGCAGCTAGCTGTGCAGACCCAGTGGTCATTGTGTACAGCCCAGACCCAGGGCTCCGAGTGAAAGTGGAGAGGTGCTCGCCAATGCGTGAGTCTGTACAGACCACCACAAGCTCACCCCCAGGAGTAGTCACAGTGACAAACTGGTCCTGGAGGACAACGTTACTCACCAAGTTCTTACAGAACGAGGGGAGGTGGAAACCTCTAAGGGAGCCTCAGGGGGATGCCGGACATGGAAGAACGGTGGAGGCACGTGCTACGGCTGGGCTCCCAGAGGGGTTAGCCAGAGAGACCGGGACAGGTGCAGTGAGTGGTGTGACTGTGGTGCAGTCGCGGAAGAAGCAGCGAGTCGCGCCGGAGTTAAGCGTGAAGGTGTGCTACCAGGCTCACAGGCACCTAGACTAGTAGCCTCTGCACTACCAGGGACGCGTCGCTGAGAAACCCACTTGCGAAGCTGCTGCGGCGAGAGGGTCTCCTGCTGACGCTGCTGTTTAGTACCCCCAGCACCATAACCTCCACCACCAGGACGGCCTCGCTGAATAACACACTCACAAAGCTGCTGTGGCGAGAGAGTCTCTTGGCGACAAGACTGTCGCTGCTGTCCAGTACCCCCAGCACCATAACTCCACCACCAGGACGGCCTCGCTAAATAACCCACTCATGAAGCTACTGTGGCGAGAGAGCCTTCTGGCGATGAGAGTGCCGCTGCTGTCCAGTACCTCCAGCACCATAACCTCCACCACGAGGACTGCCTCGCCGAATAACTCACTCGCGAAGCTGCTGCGGCGATAGAGTCTCTGGCTGACGCTGCTGCTGCAGTCCACCGCCAGATGCTCCTATGACCGTGATAGTGGCCATGACAGGCAGTGGCAGTCAGTAGCAACGGCACAAGGGCGTCAGAAGCGACTGCCGAAGCTGCAGCTGTAGCAGTAGCAGTAGTCGCTGTAGTGGCAGGGCAGTGCACGGGCTGCAGGGCAGGGCAGCGCGCGGGCTGCAGGGTTGCGTGAGCAGGGCTGCGCGCGGGCTGCAGGACGTACGGGCAGCCGGGCAGGGCAGCGCGCGGGCTGTAGGGCAGGGCGGTGCGCGGGCTGCAAGGCAGGGCAGCGCGCGGGCTTCAGGGCAGGGCGGCGCGCGGGCTGCAGAGCAGGGCGGCGCGCGGGCTGCAGCGTAGGGCGGCGCACGGGCTGCAGGGCAGCGCGGCGTGCTGGCTGCAGGGCAGGGCAGCGCGCAGGCTGCAGGTCTAGACGGCACGCGGGCTGCAGGGCAGGGCGGCACACGAGCTTCAGGGCAGGGCGGCGCACGGGCCGCAGGGCAGGGCGACGCGAGGGCTTCAGGGCAGGACGGCGAGCGGGTTGCAGGGCAGGGCGGCGGGCGGGCCGCATGGTAGTGCGGCGCGCGGGCTGCACGACAGGGCGGTGCGCGAACTGCAAGGCAGGGAGGCGCGCGGGCCG